TTAAACTTTTGATTTTCCTGTCTCTGCCTCTGGCGTGCTAGGATTGCTTACAGGTGTCTGCCACTGAGCTGAGCCCCTGGGCTTCAGTTCATGGTTTATTGTTTGTAGCATCTCCTGACACACGATCCCTAAGACAGCAGAGATCTAGCCTCTTCATTCACTGCTGGGTCCCAAATGTCTGTCATAATACTCAATAAATGTTTGTTGAGGGATGAATAATGATTGAAAGATAATTTAGAGGCAGGAGATTTAAAACGACACGAAATCCACACAATCCAAGCTGGCTGGGGGCTCTAACCATAATAAAAGGACAACCTTACAATTTCCATCTTCTCTGTAGTGACCCTGGCCGATCCACTCTCAATGGCTTTGTAGAACTGTCTTGGGGTCAGCCCCGGGAAGTGGCACATGCCTTGTGGTGCTGTCAATGAGAATGCCCCGCAGTGGGCTCAAATGTTCGAGTGCTTGGTCACAAACAGTTGGTGAACTATTTGGGAAAGACTGGGGGTGTGGCCTTGTTGAAGGAGGTGTGTCACTGGGACACAAAAGCCCATACCAGGACCCCAGCCCCTCACCTCTCTCTGTGTATTAGAGTGTCAAGCTCTCAAAGCCCTCAGCTACAGCTCCCATGCCATATCTATCTGCTTCCTGCCGTGATGATGATGGACTGAACCTCTGCAAGCTCCCAATTAAATACTTTCTTTTGTAAGAGTTGCCTTGGTCACGGTGTCTCTTCACAACAACAGAACAGAGACCAAGACCTGTAACCCCAGCACTAGAAAGATGAGGCAGGAGAATTGCAAGTTTGAGACAGGGTTTCTCTGTGTGTAGCTTTGCGCCTTTCCTGGAACTCACTCTGTAGCCCAGGCTGGTCTCGAACACACAGAGATCTGCCTGGAGAATTTCAAGTTTGAGGCTAGCCTGCACATATAGAGAGTTCCATCCCAGCTTGAGCTATATAACAAGATCCTGTCTCCCAGCAACCACACCACATGGTGGCTCACAACCATTTATAATGAGATCTGGTGCCCTCTTCTGGCATAAAGTCATACACGCAGGTAGAACACAGTATACATAATAAATACTTTTAAAAAGAGAGAGAGAGAGAGAGCCCATCTCAGAAAAGGTAGACAGGTAGATAGGGGGCTAGAGAGGTGGCTTATTATTGGTTAAGAGCACTTGTTCTTGCAGAGGACCTGGGTTCAGTTCCCAGCACCTACATGGATCACAACCATCTGTAACTCCAGTTCCAGAGGATCTGGCCTCCTTTGGGCACCAGGCATGCATGTGGTGCACGTACATGCAAGTACAACACTCATACACATGAAGCAAAAATAAGTCTTTAAAATGATTGACGATGAACAGATAGGTAAGTGGGAGAGGAGGGGAAGAAACAGCAGGTAGGGTTGGGAGGGGTCCAAGTTCAGCAGGGCGCCACTTCTTTATTAGGTCTCCCTGCTGTTGCAGGCGTTGAGTGTGAAGCAGTATCTCAAAACTAACCTGATTAGAGAGCATGGTCCCTTTGATAAACGGGCAGATGAGTCCCTATGGGGGTGATGGGAAGGACGTGGGGCCAGGAGGTGAAGTGGGAGCAGGGTCCAGTCACCAGTCGGGAGGAAGAAGCACTGGTCACCAGGGAGGGAGGCTGCTTGAGGGAGGAGAAGGAGTCTGAGTGAGCCCTGCACACTGACAGCCCGGGTGGGGTCTGTGAATTAAAAGGACTGTTCAGTGGATGATTTTCTCCACCCTCCAAGGGTGGGTGCTTTCTGTTTCTCTTAATCATACCTCTTCGCAACATTCTGAGAACTTTGTGAAATCCATGACTAGCTGACTTGTTTTCTTGTTTATCTGTCTCTCCTCTAGACTCTAAATTCCAGGAGAGCAGAGCTGGAGTGTCTCCCGTTCCCCACACTAGCCCTAATCTAGCGCGGTACCTGGCATACAGAATAGGCACTCAGAGCTGGGGAGATGCTCAGTGGGTATGAGTGTTGGCTGTACAAACATAAGGGCCTGAGTTTGGATCTCCAGTGTCCATGGAAAAAGCTGCAAGAGCTTGTAACCCGAGAGCTGCGGGATGGGGCTCAGGGAGAGGAGACTCTCTGCGGCTTGCTGGCCAGCCAGCGAGAGCTGAAAAATGTCAAGCTCCAGGTTCGTTGAGAGACTGGGTCAAAGGAGTAAGTTGGGTAGCAAAGGAGTGTTCCTCTAGCTCTGGCATCCGTACACACACGCACACACACACACACACACACACACACACACACACTCACACACACACACACAC